GCGGGGCGGCGGGGCGCGCGGGGGGCAATCTGCGCACTAAATCACGCTACGAATAAAATTTATGGCGCCGAGATAAAAACTCGCAGCTTTTCTCTTTTACGTTCCTTCCCCGGCGCCCCCTCCCTCGCGCCTTGCACCCCGCCCCCCGCTCGGAAAATCCATAGGGATTTTTCCAAGTGTTCCGGCGACGGACTATGTGGGGTCGGAACGATTTTGTTTTATGATTATTGCCGGCTGCGATGTTTTGTTTGCTAACTTGCACTGATAAGGGATACGTACGAGATTGTCTCGGCTGGACTCGATTTTTTTGTCAGAGCGTAGCATTACGGCGTCACGGCTGACTCGAGGGTTCTCTGAACTTATTAGCTCGCAGACGTAAACATTATCAACGTTTTATTTCATATAAATTGCTTCGTTTGAATTATAAAACTGTTAGCTTGTGATGAATTTATTAATTTTATTATTCCCAGACGGGTTTATTTACCTTTTGTTTGTGTATTTTACCTCTTTTATTCGTACTAAAACAATACTCAACGTTAATATGCAAGTTAATTTTTCGTTCGTATTTATTTACAATTTTTAGACTCTCTGACATGAATATGCAATTAAAGAAATTAATTTATTGTGCAGGTAAATTCCATACAATATTTTGTATAAATTTGACTTATTCGAATTATTTGAAAACGCTTAGACGTGATTTTTTTTTAATTATCTAATATCACTTTACAAGTCTTGCATTTGCGTAATGAAATCATCATGCAAATCTTAAATAAGTTATCGTTAATATTTATTTGACCGCTAACGGCTAACTAGTATAATTAAACAATTCAATATAAAATTAATAACAAAACTAGCAGAAGAACTTATAAAATGGGTTGTCATGGCCTAATCTTACTATCGTACCATCGCATTAATACCATGTAAGAAGTAAGGACATAGTCATTTTGAGTCAACTCATAAAACCCTTTTAAACCTTATAAATGTAATAACATTGTCGCGGTCGAGGAATAGTATTAGGAAAAAGAAGTGTACGAGATGTAAATGTGATTTTGACTACCGAAACTTGTATACATATCGTGGTCCTTGTCACTCTCTTCTAAAAAAACAGAGACAACAATGTTTTGCAATACTTCAATACTTTCTCCGATAACATAGTAAATACTAAGCTATTCTCAATTAATTAAGAAGCTTTTAGAATTTAACGTATGAAGAATTAAACAAGTACTCTTAATCGAGCATAAACTGTCTCAGCTAACGGAATTTAGTGTTGCCCGTTTGGCCAATCGCCCTACTTACCAATCGGCTCAATGAGAAAAATTCTTTGGGCCGATTAATCAAACAAGAAACACCTACAAAAATCGATATACGGATAGGTTTTCCGTAAGTTTGTAATTCCCTGAATTATCTTATAATACAAATATACGTAAATATTATTTTTTTTACGTTTTATAAGCTAGCGCTTGACCACGATCCCACCTGGTGAAGTGGAGATTTGGTCGAAAGATGGTACGCGCTAGCTTAGTAAGTGCCTATTTGTTCAATGTTGAGAGTTCATGTAGAAATAATAATTGAAATAATATAAAGAATAAAATGTTTATTAAATTTGTTTACGCAGTGGGAATTCATAGTAACTTGAACAGAAATGTATCGTGCAATCTATCGGAGTGTTTTCTTTCAAACGCCATTGTGACGCGATATTACCTACGGCCGACTTTGCCGACTTTTTACCGCTCAATTTCAATATTTTAAAATTATTTAAGTCATTTTGAAACTGTCGAATTGTATTTAATAATTATGGAATCTGTTACAAAAATCTGCTATAAAAAACGTATGTTTATAAATACGGCCTTTGTGTTACCACCTGTCATGATGTCGCTTGAAATTAATTAGTAGCCTAAAGAAAGAGACAACGAATTGAAAATTCTTTATTGTAATGAATATTTTAAATATTTGCTACTATAATTATTATTAAAGTATAGACATATAATCTTATTATGTTGTAAAGTAACAATAATTAAGGTGAAGCCTTTGTTTAATTTTTTTTTGTCAGTACACTGAAACAGCTGCAAAGAATTTCGAATTTCGAATCCGATGCTTAAATTCTGTAGGAATCGCATCACAAAAAATTCTCACATTCATGTCACGCCGATTGTTTTACTTATCTGTACTCAATCAGTGTTTACAGTATGACGACGCCGTGATCCACGTCAAAATAATGTCCTTATTAGACTACAAAGCGACGGCTCAAAGGAGACACGGCAAAAACTGACAAAAATAACCGCAGCGAACGAGAGATTACTCGAGAGCAAGGCCATCTGGGGATATTGAGACCATCTAACACGAGATAGCTTATCGCACCATCTCGACTCAGATTTTGTGAAGAAAAAGCGAAAGAAAAGACTTCTATTTATAGATGAAGAGCCATAGAGTACGGAGCGCACGCCACAATCGCATTAGGTCGGCGGCTGTCGAACGACGATGATTTGAATTTCCATTGTTTATGGTGGCAGACATGTGTCAAAGTTCGATTGGAATTTAAATTCGGCTCCTTTGTTATTAGTTTTTTTTGTTGAGTTGTAAACACGGCACCGTGATGTTCCAATTGGGTTACCGGCTTTGCCGATGGAAGGTTGTATCTATGACTTCACTCGTAGCCGGAATGATATTTTTGACATCGGTATGCGGTATGAATAATTACGAATCATGTTCCGAACGGACCGATAGCTGCGCGCTTTTCTTTTCTATTTTCACCGAGGTAATAATAATTCAAAGTGGACATAGCATCGACGTCGGAATATCAAAGCGAACGGGCATCTGCTAAATTACCAAACTCGAAGCAGTCACAATCAGAAGCGAGGCGAGGGCGCAACACAAAGCGTCTACCATTTTGTTCCGACACTTTTCAAAATTGGAACGTGACGGTCGCAAGCGCTCCCGACCAGAGACAATGACACGAAAAGGAAAAATATAAACGGCCCTATTTAAAATAGGGGGTATCGCTACGTCAGACATTTTAAATCGCGTCACGATTTCAAGGAATATTGATTTATCATAATTCATAGTACTGGCACGACAAGGTCGAGTTTGGCTTGCGTATATAGGTGACATAAGTCGTTGTAGAGTATTCCGTTGTTAATTTAAAAGTGCGTTCTTGAACCCTTTCAGAGGCATTGTATCTTTGTGCGCTTTGTACGGGAGATGGTTTATCTGCCTCGCGAGGTACATAAGTGCTGTTTTTTCATTCCGTAATGCTTTTACATTTCAAAGGGGTTAAATGTTATTCAGACTGGCTGCCCGCTTAGAAAACGTGTGGGTGTCGTGGGGACCGGGAAATACTTATTTACTTATTCTCCTAATGCTTGTATGGTTACCGTCCTTTCCTATATGTTGAGTAGCTTTTTATGAAGCTCCTACCATATAAAATATGTATATGTTGTTCTATAAATGCTAGAGATTTCAATAGTAATGTGGACACAACGCAGAAGAAGTAATATTAAATAATCTGTAACTCAGTCTATCTCTGTTTGAATTTGTCATACTAACGAATATACCTATAAGAATACTAATATATTAAATCCGAATGCTTGGATGGATGGATGTTTGTTAAAAGCTCCAGAAGGGCGCAACGGATCTTAATGATATTTAGCATTGATATATAATAGAAAAGGTGTGCAAGAATATAGGCTAAGTATCAAGTCTTATTTATTTGCGCATGGACAAAGTCGCAGGCAAAATGTAATATTTATTACATCTTTTTAATTTCATACAAAACATACCTACAAGTTAAGTTTGATTTTCTATAAATAATTGATGTCGATTTTCCTGGCCTTATTCATCTTTTTGCCGTATCCATAAAAATCACAAAAAGTTTAGAACGGGTTATATAAAGTAAATTTGTACTACTATTCTTAATTAATGAGTATTGTTCTTAGTATTTTGCTTACCATTTAGAACAATCTTGAAAGAATTAGGGACAAAAACTGTAACAATGTTTTTATGTATATTATTTTAAAAATCCGTATAGAATCATCGTTAATACATAGATATTCATTATTTACCATTATGTTTTTTATATAAACTTCTTTATTAAATCTTAGCGGTGGCAATATGTTAAATAGTGATAATTTTGTAGAAACTTATCTTATACTATATATTTTTAAGAATATTCAGCCATATTACACCTGCCTTTACAGTTTTTATTGAATTTATTAAAATATATTTAATGGTTTCACCAGTCCCCACTAAATAATAGGTGAAGTAATAACAAATTAACATTATTGCAGTGCCAAAACCATCATTACTTAATTTAATGAGTTCCTTTCGTCGTATAACGGTAATAACGTCAGCTAAATTACATTACTCATAAAGTAACCCTTTTATTGCTACTTATTGAGATATTCAATCGCATCTGTTTCGTTATTTACGAAATAAACAATATTTTTTATTAAAACTTACAATTGTATGATAATGACCATACATATAACAGTTTTATTTATCAAGAAAGTTTATTTCTACTTCGTTAAAAGGTTGCCATTCAGTATCGAACATATTTCATCATCATTCAGTTATTTACAAAGCTCTATGATAGGAGTTATCCATTAAATATTAATGCTTTTTATTGCCATCCGTCTAAAGCATACATGAGCAATTGATATTTACAATCATAACAGAGTGGAGCTAGCATCGGCGGACATCCATAACGAAATACAAAAATGCGCCCATTGTTAACGTCTCCCGCCGCCGCACCACACCGCACCGCCATCCATCAGCCGCGGCGCGCGCGCGACTGACGCACACCACCGCACGCTACTCGCCCGCCCAAAAAGAGAAAAAGAAAATTTTAAAAAGAGAACACTCCCATCGCGCTCGACAGCGCCGCCCCGTCCACCGCCCGCCACTAAGCTAGCCAATAGGAAGCCGGCGGGTGAGGAGCCCCGCGCCGAGCACGTCCGAGCCCGCCCGAGCGAGCGCTCACAACAAAAACGTCACACGACTAGTTTAGTGTCGGGTCGCGTCCCAAAGAGGCCGCTTCCCGTGCCGCGACACCGTACCGCGAGGCTTGCCGCGCCTGCGCACTCACATCCACTATATCTCAAACAAAACATTGTTATCCCGTTTCCATCTGACCGTTGCAAACGCTCACCCTTCGATACGATCACGTCTTGTGACTTGTTGTGATTTTATTAATTTTCGCACCAAACAATCCGTGAAAATGGACCCGCGAACGGAATGGAGCGTACAATTACAGTGTGTTTATATATCTCTACGTTTACAGTGATAATAAGTGATAGTGATCGACATTTGAGTGATAACCACCGCTCACGGACATTTAAGGTAAAATAATAATTATTTATCTTGAACACATTACTTAAAGCTACTGTAATATTTATAAAATAACTCAGAAATCTATGTAGAGGTAACTTGAAATTGCTAATATGTTCAGCAGAACTGAACCTTATAATATTCAAGACCCTACCTACAAAACTACTCGTTGATTTGACTAAATAATCCATTAAACAAGAATTTATAGATGCAACGCTTTGTTATAGGAAATAATTTCTTTAAACATTCAATTTCCTAAAACTCTCAAGTCTTCATTGATTTCAATACTTCTATTGAAATGAAAATAAAGATATGTATATTTAGAACAATCTAAATATAATCTACATTATCTGGTTACTTTAATAAAGAAAGACATTGATAAGTCAAGTACAGTGCACGCCCGACGGTAACAATTTGTAACTATATGACGATCAAATTAATTTTCTTATAACTAATTATTACACAATTAGACTGTAGTTTTAAAATAAGAAAACCAAAACGATTTTTATTTGTTTTAAATTGAAATTGGAAAATATTATATTTCGTGAAGAAAAAAAACATAACTGCCAGTATTAAAAATATCTTTTAATAGATTTGATATAAAATTTACTATCGAAAAAAAGGAAGAAATGATTTTATATTATTTTAAGTATTTTTGTATGCGGTAGGAATGGGCATATATTGGATTAAGAAAAAAAAATTTTATATTAAAATTGGATTCTCTATATAAAAGACATAAACGTGTTTCTTGTAGACAAAATATTTGATTATGTTTAAGACTGTTATTTGTTTTAATATTCATAAAAAAAGTTGTTTTTTTAAGAATATAGCTTGTTAATAAATTTATGAATTTCTTCCATCTATTTTTATAAGAAATTTAATATTTGAGTTTTGTTTGTACATATTTATGTTTGTGAGTTATAATCTTAATTATGGTAAACATTTAAATAATTGTATTATACCGTAGTTATAATTATAAATATATATTTTTTATATATAATTTGCTTAAATAATGCCAACGTACAAACTTTGAAGCCTTATAATAATTTATAGGAAATTAAACAAATAAAGTATTCGATGACATCTCTTTTTCTAACTTCAAATGTTATAATAATAAATATTTTAACTGGATATGCAAAAGGCATCCGTACCGAGCAATGTCTCGTCTATATATCTTATTTACTTTTAAGAATTCTAACTTGTTACGAATAAGAACATACGCGACCAACAAATCAATGTCAAAGTCGAGGCTTCTGTTTTTAGTATAAAGAGTTTCGACTGTCTCGACTTCTATAAATTCATATTGATATCCTTTTCATCCTCTGTGAAAAAATGGAGACAGCAACATGTTTTATTACTAGTGTTACAGTCGAATTCGGTAAGCGTAATATTTTGGGCCGTTACGATTGGCCGCCATGACAGTTCGCGTTCGAAATTTGAATGCGGCAAAGATGCGCAAACGCTGGCCCATCGATTAGCCGTCGATAAGGCTAAGCGTGTGTGCGTCGGCTATGTAAATGGTTTCCGCTGATTTTATATATGTTAGCCGTATCCTGTCGTACGTACGATTTTAATAAATCAAATAATATCGGATTAATGTTAAAGCAGCTCACGGATCAAGTTCACTAACATCGACGACAATGTAAATGTGGCCTTGTAGGCATGTCGCTTTTAAATTATTAACATTGTATGGATATAAAATTTTGCATCGTTATTTGTTGAGCTTTATGGTTGATTCTTCAAAGCACCTGTTAGATATTTTACAATCAACTTTAGCCTTTAGAAGTTTTCCTGCTATACAGCTTTGATATAGCAATTTAATGATATATATATACATATCTATATTAAATTTTATATATAGTTGGGAATATAAAAGATATATTTTGTACCTAATATTTATAATAGTTCTTATTTCTTTAATTTTTCTAGTACTTTAGTAAATTTAACTTCATACTCATCACTTTTTAGTTCTTAAGACTATGAATAGGTTAGGCTAAAGCGATTAATTCCACGCTTCAAGTTATTTGCATGCCTCGTAAGGAGCTTGACTTTTTTATAGTTAGGAAGAATAATTTGTTTCCCTTCCCCCTGTCTATGGGCAAGTAATTATAAAACATACTACAGACTAGCCGCTAATGCTTCTATGTCCGTATTAGGTAGTACCAATTACAAAGGAATTATGAATTAAACGTTTAACTTATTTAATAAGGCGTGAAATTATTAATTAAAACGTTAAGAATTGTTATGTTTTTTCCTATTTTTAATTGTTAAAATATTTGCTTTTCATTCTTATGAATATGAAGTGCCAATAGCCTAATGGTTAAGGGTTATAGCCGATAACGTGGGTTTGAATCCTGCCGTCCAACTATTATTTAAACCGTAACTTACCACGATTTTAATCGGAACGGTAACATAATGGTGGAAATATTACTGTCACCCGAGAATCTGTCCGCGCGGAATTAAAAAAAAAAAATTAGTAGCCTATGTGTTCTTCCAGGCTATGCTCTCTATTTATACCAAATTTTAGCGCGATCCGTTCAGCCGTTCTAGAGATACCTTTAAACAAACATCCATATATTCATCCAAACATTCAATTTTATAATATTACTTAAATTTAAAACAATTTTAAAAGAAAAAAAATGTAAGACGGATTTATGATTAAGAATTAAATTTATAAATCAATATGTTGAAGTGTTTATAGATATGAGGAGTGATATCTTTTGATTTGTTTCATATTATCATTGATTGATATATTTACATCGATTACATTTGTGCCGTATGTGCGTAATAAACACCAATTGATATCATCGTGATAGTTTATCAGTATGGTTACCGGGTAATATATGACCTTCGAGTAAATATTATATTATTTATTAATTTAAAATATTGACTTGTAATGTTACTTCTTACTTATCCTACTAATATTATAAATGAATGTTTAAATGGATGTTTGTTTGAAAGTAGCTCCAGAATGACTGAACGGATCTCGATGAAATTTGGTGAGAATGTAGAACATAGTCTGGAAGAACACATAGGCTACTAATTAAGTTTTTTTTTTAATTACGAGAGAACGGGATCGCGGGCGACAGCTACTTCTGTTATAATTTTGTCCTACTTGTTAAACAAATTACTAGACATAAAGCAACAGTAGTACACCTTTGTTCTTATTATTGATACATATTTATGGTTACTCATCTTGAGGCCTATATTGGGGGGTTCAGATATAACTTACTGAGAGTTTTTAATTGTAATAACATTAAATGATTAAAAAAAACATGTTTAAAATTTTTATTATATAATACATTTTTAGTAAAATGTAATCCTCTTATTGATATTTCTATTAAGTTATTGATTTGTCATTCAATGTAAATAAATAAATGTATTCTGACATATCTATATCTATCTAATCTTTGACCTCTCACTGTATCTTACTGTAAACTGGTAGCTTTTGATTTAAGACTTAACAATTATTTATATTGTCTCACAGACAGCTATTATCTGTTAAATGAATTTCTAAACGCTCCGATAAACGTCAATCGACGGATTAAACGTTGTCCAATAAAAAACTGAAGCAGGTCCCAATAAATTATTCAATCTGGTGTTCATTTTAAAAGGCATCGATCAAGCCCTATCGGTGGCGCGTCGGCGATACAAAAATAACACGCGCCTCTGTTACTCCCGTCAAAGATTAACTTTAAAACGCTTACGCACCTAACACACTGTTATACGAAAGCGGAACGGTATCGAAATAGGAATTCCGCTCCGCAATCATGTCGTAAATCTGTGTTTTATGTCCAACAAATTAGTTAGTAAAAAAAAAATTGCCAACAGCAAAATCGCGAAACAAAAGCGAATCGCAACGTCACCAACACTTATACTAAGCATATATAACATAAACTAAGCAAAATTTCGCTTTCTAGGTAGTGTTTCGTTTCGTTTCGTTTACAATCCACTCTAGATTTGCGGCAGTGTGATAGGGGCGTTACGGATGATCTTTTTTCGTGGCCCAACATTGTTTTAGAAGACCTCTCTAATCCCCACCGTTTCGACACCTCAAGACTGGGTATTATTGTCTGGTACATCTTTAATCCTAGCTAATGTGTCTGTAGTCTCATATTACCTATTTTAAAACTCGGATTATAGCTGTGAAATTCATAAACAAAGACAATCTTGTTTTAAAGTAGTTAGCAATATATGAACCTTATTATTAAAAATGCTTTAAGGTTTAGATTGATTTATTAACTTTGGGTACAAGAAATTAATTTAAAATAATAGTTTAAAAATTTCAATGTATTTCCATTGGTCACAGAAACTTTTATGGTATTATTAAATATCCAGGACAACGATTTCAAACGCAAAATTATATAAAAATGTATAACTTAATACATTGAATTGGTTCGATTTTCAAAATTGTATTTAATTTGTGATTATTTCTCATATTAAGTCTAGCATATCGGACAAAAAAAATAATGAGATTGAATGTGAATGGCTACAAAGGAGGAAGACCAAAAAAGTATGGAATGACTGTGTTAAAGAGGATATGCGTAGGAATGGGGTAGATTCGAATATGACGGCTGATAGAGATGTATGGAGGAGTAGTACATACTGTGCCGACCCTCGATAGGGATAAGGGCAGTTTGATGATATCGGACACACATTATTATCATATTTTAAAAGATATTTATATAAACTTTCATTATTGTTATTAAAAAGAAATTATGTTATAAAATTATTGCAACGCCTGAACATAATATTTTATTTTAATATTTAAAATATAAAATCCTTTAAATATATTTTGTTTTACATGGCCTATTATAAAAAAAAATAGTTTTGTAGATCGCCAGAGGTTATCTTAGTTAGAATCACGATAGTGGGTCGAGATAATGTCGAACACATTTTTTTAGATTTGGGCCTAAACGAGCGAGGCCCGGAGGTCCGAGAGGAATCAATTATCTTAATTGGGAGCTGGTCTAATCTTATTAGGAGTACGCAGTTAAGTTGCGAGGTGTAAG